AAAAAAAAAAAAAAGAGAATGTTTGATAGGGAGGTGAGGGGAGGGGAGAGGATGAGTGGAGGGAGGGTGTTTGGTGGGACCTCACCTATGGTTCATCTTACAAGGGTACATGTGAATCTTTCTAAATGTAGAATATAAATGTCTTAACACACTAACTAAGAGGATGCCATGAAGGCTATGGTAACCAGTTCAATGAAAGTATTTCAAATTGTATATAAAACCAACACACTGTACCCCATGACTGCATTAACATACACAGCTATGATTTAATTAAAAAAAAATCTGTTTGAATGTGGTAAGGCTAAACTTGGCTATGAAAATTTCTCCAGTAGGGCCTACAGTCTCAACAACTAATGCAGAAAAGAAGGAAGAAAAGAAACAGCAACAGAAAGAAAGGGTACGGAGAACGGCAGAAATGGGGACATGAGAATTTTCTTTTTAATTTCTATTAAGAGGCTGATTTCCTGGAATCTTGATTTTTTTTTTTTCCAGTGCCAGGCTAATTTCTTTTTTCCCTGAACCTATGAGCTATGTTAATGGTACTATAGCAGTTTTGTACTTAGAAAGGAGATAATATCCATAGACTAAAAATATTGTGTCAGGTGGCCATTTGCCAGTAACTCAGTAAGGCTTTCTGTAAAACCTGGCATTTTCTCCTTCTTTTAAAGGCTTGTTTAATCAAAGCTGTTCCCTTGATATTCATTCTTGGAAAACAGAAATTAACTAGAATGAAAAGCAACTGCAGCCCCTCTCTGCCCCAGTACTGGCTAAGAAAAGTCCTGAGTAATCAGATCAATTCAGTTAACAAATGCTTGTCAGACAAGCTCTCTGGTTTCCCTGCTGGGAATATTCCTTTACCACCACCCCAGGTTTCTCTATTTGCAGCCTCTTTGCAGCTATGGTTTGCTCTTGGAGACAAAAGCTTCAGTTTGGAAGACAACCAGCCCATCCTTCCTGCCCCATTCACCCTTTATTGTGCCACTGGTGTAGGGAGAAAGGAAGGTGAGAGGCAGCTGGCCCAGTTTCCTCAAATGTCAGCCTCCCTGAGGTGGGAAGAGGGATGGGGAGAGGGAGGGTGTCACACTCTAGAGGGCTGGGCCCCACACCCCAGTGGGAGTCACCAGCCAGTGATTCATCCTGTGTTGCTTTTGTAGCCCTCAGTTGCTTTCAGTCCTGCAGTAGAAAGTAGCAACAAGAATTCAGCCTCCTGGCTGGGCACAGTGATACACAGCTATAATCCAAGCACGCTGGGAGGCCAACACAGGTGGACTACTTCAGCTTGGGAGTTTAAGACCAGCCTGAGCAAAAGCGAGACCCAGTCTCTACCAAAAACAGAAAAATTAGCTGGGCGTGGTGGTGGGGTTGAGAGGCAGGAGGAGTGCCTGAACCTAGGAGTTTAAGGTTGCTGTGAGCTAGACTGACGCCAAGGCACTCACTCCAGCCTGGGTAACTCGGTCTCAAAAAATGGAATTCATCTTCCACCATCTCCTATAGAACAGAGTAGTCAATTTCCAGGCCAGCTAGGCCAAATTTCCAGGGGGAAGGAAGGATCTAGTCCAGGGAATGCGAGTGGCTCTGAAAGCCACTGAGTTCATGGTCCCAAATCCCGTCCCGAGGGCCACCAGCACACAGCATAATCTTCCAGCTGGGCTCCTCCTCCTCTTTTCCCCTATCCTATCCCCATGTCAGTTCGGGATGGTAGTTGTGGAGGCGGAAGGGAAGGGTGCCTCAGAGAAGGAAAAACTACTATAAAACACGTAATACTACCCTC